ATTAATAAATTATAAAGGGTGCTTTATGAGTTTGCTAAGTGAATAGTTACAAGGTTGAAAGTTATACTTTCCACATCTGCAAGTGAAATTGCTTCAACACAAGGAGGTATCATTACTAGTGACTTTTGTGGATATTCCACTGAATGATAGAACTGGGGAACTTTGTTCCCCAGCCATCAGTGCTGCTTAACCTCTCTTGCTTTCTCACTCCCGTTGTTTGCTATAAATGATGACAACTAAGTTGTTTGAGTTATTCTTCTAAGACAGAAGGGGTGGGGTGTGTGTGTGTGTGTGTGTGTGTGTATGTGTGTGTGTGTGTGTGTGTGTGTGTGTTAGAGAGAGATAACACAGACAGGTTTGGCCTAAAGCAAAGCTGGGTAGTATAAAGTTGCTCTTTTTTTTTTTTGGTTTCTTGCTTCTTCTTTATGAATCTTGCTCTATCTCGCAGCCATTACCTCTCAATCTCCCATTCAAGAAAGGCTTTTGTACAGTATTAAATGTTACCAATTTTCATATACCTGTTGATGTAGGAGCCAATCTTAATGACCCCTTGGACTCATCTGTGTGCATAGTGGAGATGGCAATATTTTCATATCTTTCCCGAGGTGTAAAGCACCAGCAGTGGTGAATATATACCACCAGATCTTTCTGAAAATTTTTGTTGAGAAAACCATAAAAGAGAGGGTTTATACATGTAGAAACCATAGCAATCAAATGGCAAACTACAAATACCAGATCATGCTGACAGCTCATCAGCACCTCATGGTACCAGTCAAAGATGACATTGAAGATGTTCAAGGGCAACCAGCAGGCCCCAAAGGTCACCACAATGGAGATCAATATTGTATTGATCCTCTTGTTCTCACTGAGCCGGCTCTCATTTTCTCTCTTCCTTTCCACCTTTCCATTTCTTCTACGGAGGCAAATGACAATCTTCAGGTAGCAGATGAGAATGAAGCTCAGAGGGACACAGTACTGGAGCATAAACAGGGAGGTGGTGAAGAGGAGTTGGTTCATTTTGGAGGGCCAGCTCTCTATACAGGCTACCCGGTGGGTGTAGAGGTCAGTAGGGAGAGAGAGGTTGTGGAAAGGCTCCTCAGTTAGGTGGTAGGACAGGAAGAAGGGAATAGACAACATAAGGGAAAATAGCCAAATTAATGTGATACCCCAGTAGGCGTGAGTTATATTGGGCTTCCAGCCACGAGGGTTCACAATCAGCTGATATCTTTCAACAGCAATCAACACAAGTGAGAATATGGACACAGAAATGAAGACGCTCTGAACATAGGAGGTGAGTTTGCACATGGTATCCCCAAATATCCAGTGGTCCATCAGAGTGTAGATGACAGTAAAAGGGATGCACATGACACATACCAAGACGTCAGAGAGAGAGAGATTGGCAATCAGTATGTTGGTGACATTCTGAGCTTCTCTGTGCTTCTTAAAGATGACGGTGATGAGTAAGAGGTTCCCGAAAAGGCCCATGATGAAGACCACAGAGTAGGCTGTGAGCAGTAGGAACAAGGCTAGAGAAGAAGGTCGACAGGACTCAAAGTAGAAATATGCAGAGTTGTTGCTCTTCACACTGGTTTTATTAGCTGCTGGATGGTTTAAGGGAAATTCCATTTTGTCAGGGTTATGAGAAAGCTTTTGTAAGCTAACTTGTATGGGTGAATATTTTAACCACCAGTTCTTGGGAAGTACTTTGCTTTCAGGCTTCCAAGGAGTAATTTGTAAGATTTAATCTTCTTTGATCTTTGTGCTTGATGGAAATGCATGAGTGACTTGAATATGCTCTTGAAATTCTAAAAAATTAAACATAATGCAGAATATTAATGTAAATTCTTAACAATCTGGACAATTCTATAGGTGGAAATTGTCCCTGAGAGGACATAGGGAGATATCCAGAGGGTCTTTCTATATCCTTGTCCTCTCATCTCAGAGGGCCTTTTTTCATTCCACCAGCATAGTCTTTAAAGCTAACGAGTAAGGAAATGTGACAGTGTTCTGTTAACTGTATAAGGCAGCCCAAATATACATGTCCATCCCTGTCCCCTTCTGTCCTGTGTGTGTGTGCTGTGGAGGCCAGAAGTAATTTGTCTGGAAGCTGAGTTCCATTTAGAGCATCACAATTTGGTGTCTGTATGGCTTTGGCATAAATCCATTAGCCTTTCTGCTCAGTTTTCTTGTCTGCAAAATGGGGATAAAAAATATCTGTTTGCACTGTTGTAAGGATTAAACAAGATCATGCAACTAAATTTGTCCCACTGCCCCAACGCAGAGCACATAACAGGTGTTCAGTGTATGTGTGCTGAATAGAATCTGTTAGCTCCCCTGCCCAAATCCAGTCTATAGCCTTTACTCTGAGGTGGGGGCTAGAATCACAGCTCATGCCTGGTATGGAGTAACGATGACTGCTCCTCTTGGTAGTTTTCCCATTCTTTGGAGCTGAAGCCATACTCTGCACAAGCTGTCTCTAGGTATACTGCTTGGATTCTGGAGATGAAGGCAAAGGGTAAGCCTGGTGAGCTGTTACTTGGAATTAACTTTATTTAGAAAGTACTCTCCAATTCTCCCTCCCTCTGAGCCCCTTCTTCTGATTTCCCAAGGAAAGGGGGGCCCTATGGCTCAGCATGGCTTAGAGTTGTTGTATTCAGTGGAATTATTCATACCAGGGTGTACAACAGCCATGGTAATGACCCTGCCGTTCTAAGTGCTGAGATTTCTGGCCCAAAAAGGACGTATTGAAAGAGGGCAAAGGGAAAAGAATACCCCTCGACTTGCTTTATTCTCTAGGAATCTGAGGAAAACATAACATTGATAAAGGAAGCTGAGCAATAGGAATGAAAGAGAACGAAATTTATTTGCTGTTTGAAATTACCTTGGATTGCTCTTACATTCTCTCTGAGTTCAAAAGCTTAGCAGATTCTCATTGGAAAGAAATCACCTTAAGAATACCTGCTATGGCTGTCCCTCATTTTAACAATAGAGACCACAATGAGGAACACCATAAAAATACCAGAGATGAATAGAAACTGTTGATAAAGACAGTATGTCTTATAAAGAAAGACCCAAGGAACTGATCTTTGGCTTACATGTGATACAGTGATAAGTAGAAATAGCAAAATTTAAAAACAGTGGTTTTGGGAATGAGGGTTTAGGGCTTGGATGATTCAGGGGTTCAACAGACCTAGAGTTTATAGCTATTGGTTGAAGGGGAATGTCAAGACAGATTTAAGCTCTTTATGACAGCCAGTGGACTAGAACTATAAATGAGAAATGGAAAGATTTGGTTGTTTACTAGAGACCTTCTACCAAGCAAGCTTCACTCAGAGGAAGGAAGGGATGAAAGGGAGGCAATAACTACTGGTTGGTAGGCCGGAATGAGCACTAGACTTCCCGACAGTCCTGCTGCTGGTTTGATTTTGGGCAAGTCAGTCCCCTTCTCTGGGCCTCAGATTCTTCATCTTTCAAATGAAATTTTTAAAATGGCCTTCCTATTTTACACCTTGGTATAAGGCCAGTGAAATAATATATTTAAAACATCTGATAAACTATTAAATAATGTGCAAAATAATGTGCTTATTAGTGTTACTGTCCTTGTTGAGGCCTCCAGAGAGCTATGAGTGCTTTTATGTCCGCTGCACTATTTATTTCTCCAACATTGAGGTTGCAGGAAAGGTGGGATTGTTTTTTATCTGTTTCATAGATAGAAACCAAAGTACAGAAAGGTCCAAGAGCTTAGCTAAGGCCCAAAAAAAGCAGCAAAGTCTCGTGCTTTTTTTTTTCCTTCCCAGCCTAACACTGTCTACAAAAAAGAAATGCTTTCTGTGAATCCTGCCCAGACAGGGTTGAATAACAGTTTTCTTTTTACAGATGTGGAAATTCATACACTTTTGCAGAGTTCCTAGCAGAGTGGTAATAGAGATGGGAATAAACATGGGGAACCTTTGTGTTGCTCATTCTTGTTGATCTGGGTTGTCTGGACTGAGTGAATGGGAATCCCTCACAGCAGGTCTCCAACTTCATAGACACCCCTTTACTGTCTTGTGTTGATTAGTAGCAAAGTACAAATTATCTTCCCACTCTGTAAGTTCCTATACAGGCTCAAAGCTCAGAAAAATCGGAAGAAGGTCTGAGGGGCCTCATCTGGGAGGGAGTCAAAGGAGGGTGCTGCAGTTCCATCGTCCAGTGCCCTCTATACAGGATAGAGAAGCTTCACAGGAAAATCCCGTATGTTGGATTTGAAATGGCAATATGGGATTTATACTTTACATAAAAGGTAACTATTAAGTGAAAATATTAAATACTGCCTGTCTGGAAGCAAAATAACGCTAAGCCTTGATTCATAAAAAAAAAATCCTTGGGATACATTTCTATTCTAGGAAAGTTCATGTTTGGCTTGTTTAGTTGGAAATGACCAGGAATATGAGATATCCCTTTACCAAGTGATATTTTAGCCAAAAATAAGTTTAGCAAAAGGTAGAAGTTGGTAGTCTTCCACCTTCAACTTTGCTGTGTCTGCTTCATGAGGCAGATGCCTTGAGCTGGGTCTATTTATGCTTTTAATGTAAAAGTACAGTATTACGTCACACATTTTAGTAGTTTTGTGTTTAAAAGTTTCAAGATGAACAAAATAAGAGAATTACCCTTTCAAAGTCTCTATATGCATATTTATTTTTGTATCTTAATGTCTTTTTGTTAGTGTGTATCTTTTTCTGTGTCTCTATTCAAGAACTCTTTTTTTGTGGGGGTGGGTAGGGTAAGGAGTAGTTCATATGTGCCTGTCCTTTGGTTTCTCTGTTTTCTTTTCCTCTCATTGTATTCCTTTCTACCTATCTGTCTCATTCTCTTCTGCTTTCCTTTTTCCTTTAATTGTCTGCAATCCAGAAAAAGGAAAAGCATATTTTAGATGATCTCTTATATTTCATTTGGTGCTATGGTTTTTTGACCTGGAAGAGACTCTACAGGTGTTTTAATCCACTGCTCTCATTTGACAGATGTGGCTTTGCAGTTCATTACTGTCAGAACAGGACCAGAGCCCAAGTCTCCTGGCTTTCTGAGTTCCATGCTCTTTCTACTACTTTTGCTGCCTCCTGTTTTATATTTCTTACTCTTAATATTAAGAGCAGGTGAGTAGAACATTTTCTAATTCTTTGATATTAAAAAATTCTTTATGTAACTTCAGGGAGTCTGTGGCTTTGTGCAAGTGAAATTTTGCCCACTCCACTCTCCAGACCTGTGTGTGAGGGTCCCAAAGTTGGGCAGGACCACACTGCAAGTATCCCCTCAATAGAACTCTCTCCCTTTCCTCAAACCTCTAGGAACACCGATTCTATGGCTATGTTGATACAAATAACATCTCACAGTTGTTTAGGGCTTAATGATTTTTAAAATACTAACTTATTCCTTAATTCACTTAATAATTTAAGTGCTGACAAGGTGAGCTGTCGTACTTGATTTCTACAGCAGTCCTGTACTTTGGGTAGGAATGATACTTTAATTATGTCTAGAGTACAGAACTAAGTCACTGGCAACTGAGACCTAGTGACTTTCTCATAGTTGTATAATTAGTAGCAGAGTCAGGAATAAGACTTGTACTTTCTAAACATATGCCAAGCAATATTTCTAGTTTATCTGATCATTGCATTAAAAAAATCAAATCAGTCTTTTGTCCTCCACAAAAACAAATAGAACTAGAATCTCTGTAAAGATACTTCTTAGAACTTTGCCTAAGAACAAAGTACTATATTAAGTAACCATAAGAAGCATCAAGAAACAAATGCCTTCTCTCTTACAGCCTTATGAAAAGCATTGTGCTTGCTTCAGCAGCACAAGCACTAAAACTGGAACGATACGGAGATTAGCGTGGCCCCTGTGCCAGGATGACATGCAAGTACGTGAAGTGTTCTGTATTTTTTAAAGACGAAAAAAAGTGATTGGCCTGGTTATTCTACATCATGCAAACTCCTTATCCTATTCAACTCTTCACCCATTCCAAAAAATACAATTTTATGTTTATCTATTGCAGAAGTATATGCTACACACTTAAGATCTAGGGATAACATTTGACTCATCTGTTCTTTTACTACATGTACTTTGATTTTCTCTGCTGGAGATGGTTTATCCAGTTTTCCCTTCAATTTGACAATTGTTTGAGTCCATATAAAGTGTTAGCAAAAAATGTACATATTTCATCTTGTGAAGTCTAATAGTTACTTTTAAAATCAAGCCAACACAGATTGTCTGAATTGGCTTTCATTTTCTGTGAAGGCTAATGACTGAGCTTGTTATTATAGGGATGCTGAGGATTTTAATTCTTTAAAGTAACAATATACTAAATGTGTCAAGAAAAGAGAGCTAAACTTTGCCAATGAATATAAGTATGCCAGGTGTTTAAGTTTATTTACAAACAGATAAATAGAAAGTAATTAAAACCCCATGGTGCCCATACCAGCATTTGGTGATTTCTTTTGATAATTTTCTTATAATGGCTCATTATAAAGCTGAGGAGTTGTTTTTCAGGTCATATAAGCAAGAAGACACAGGTCACATACGCAAGTATGATTAGGCCTGAAAGCACGGCAGTTCTTGTTATGATTAATGGTCTGAAAATACAACAGTTCTAATGTTTAGTGATCTTCACATGTTTTAAAATGGGAATATTTTAACATGAAATAAACATTTGAAAAATGTTTATTTTGTTAGCAGTAAACAAAATCTTACATTAGCAAGATTTTCTTTAGCATTGTAGAGGTTTGTTTCCCAGTTCTTACCTGTTGGATATTTCTAGCTGTCTTGCAGTTCTTTTCATCTGGTACAGGTTTTCTTTCTTCATTTCCATGATTATTTTTCTAAGCTTATTTCTCTGTCAAGAGGTGACGTGTTAGCTGCCTCTCCAAATCACAACATACACCTCTTCCTTCTTGGCTTATCTGTCTCACAATTTACAGCTTCATTTCAGAGCTGCTCCCTGGAGTAGAAATCATCATACAGAGCTCTGGAATCCAGTAGGATCTGAGGCCACTGAAGAGCCAGAGGGGAGGAGTTAGACTCTCAGCCCAGTGATATCAGATGGAACTGCTTAAAAGACGTGTTCAAAATGTGTCACTTTCAGTCATCCTGTAGAGATGATAATAAGAAAGCATTTTGAAAATCTGACATTTTCTGGCGCGTACATGTATATTTGTACTTTAAAAAAAATCAGCTTTGCTATTTTTTAAAAAATGTCTGATTTTTTTAGAATCAGACATTTGAATTAATTATTCCTGGAAAATTATTAGTAAATGTCAGTGATTGCTCTTAGAGAATTTACTATATGTTAAGAGACAGTGTTTATTTCTGATTTTGCTATAATTGATGAGATTAATAAAATGATTTTAAAATTAAAATTAACCTTAAGTTTCCCAGGAAAGTATGGATTATTATATAGGATTTTCATCAACCACTTTGAAATTGAGACAACTGAACTGCTTAAATAAAAATGGGGGTTGAAAACCCTTTTCTGTATTTAAAAAAATTATTATAAGGGGCTCATTATTACAGAAGACTGAAAGACAGCAAAATTTAGATTAAATACAGGGTGGGGCCAAAGTAGGTTTACAGTATGGAAGATAATATAATTAATAAATAATAATACAAAAATAATGTTTTTCTTGTTCTCACAACTGTAGACCTACTTTTGCCCCATGCTGTATAAGGAATATTTCCTTATAGTGAGAGTGAAGTCTTTGAGAAACAAAGTTGTGGAATATCAAGTGTGGTTGAAGATATATGTATTTTTAATTTATTTATCTTTAGAGGGGAAGGGAAGGAGAGAGGGAGAAAAATATCAGTGTATGGTTGCCTCTCGTGTGTCCCCTGCTGGGAACTGGCCTGCAACCCAGGCATGTGCCCTGACTGGGAATTGAACCGTGGTTGTTTGGTTTGCAAGGTTGTACTCAATGCACTGAGCTACACCAGCCAGGGCTGGTTGAAGCTATTTTTGGCATCACCTATTGGATAGGCTAGCAACATTTAGAAATATTTCCTAACCCGTGGGTTCAATGATAGAGCCCCAAATTTTAGAATTAAGCCATGCAAATCAATTCCGTCTCCCCATTCCATACACCAAAATAACTAATAAAAACTCAATGTTCCTAGTTAGTCAACAACATTGAAATTGTGCATCTGTGTTTTACAGACCCTTGCTAGGCAGAGTGGAACAGTGGCAGAGAAGAAGTGGGTATGCATTACAGGAATGACAGCCAGTCTTCTCTGTAGCAACTTGAAGAGCAGATACAGTTAAAATAGCTCAGGACCCATACCTCTTCATAACCCAGTCACCTTTTCATGGTATTCCCATTAGTTACCTGTTTGTACTTGAAACATAGAGAATAGCAAACTTTGGGAGACTATAGGGCTTATTGAAAAACAAAGTATTTCATACATAAAATACTGACAGAGGCCACAGGGTTGGTGGATACTAAGAGATCATCTTAGTCATATGTGATGTTGGTGAAGATTTTGAGAAGCAGTTGAAGTCGATATAGCTGCCTCTGAACCCAGATTCTCCCACAGTACCTAGCTGAGTCACCTTAAGTTTCTCTCCGAGTTTTTTATTCCTTTTTTATAAGGTGAATATTGCCATCTCTCTGGCAGTATTATTTTGAATGTTAATGATAGCACATAGTTGATATTCAATAAGTGATAGTCAGTCATTCTTGATTTTTTAAGAATTTCCCTTAGTACAAGTATATAATCCAGGTTAAGCAGAGTTAATTGTTTTCTATTCCTCCATTCCTTCCCAAAGAAAGTCTAGAATGAGTATGAGAAATTGAGAAATGGTGAAATCAGAGTCATTATTTTAATTTTTAAAATCCTCTCCTAAGGATATGCTCATTGATTTTAGAGAGAGAGGAAGGGAAGGAGAGAAAGAAACATTAATACAAGAGAAAAAAAATACATCAGCTGCCCTCCATATGTGCCCTGACCAGGGATTGAACCCACAACCCAAGTATGCAGCCCTAATCAAGAATTGAGCCTGCAACCTTTTGGTGTGTGGGACAACAATACAACCAACTGAGCAGCCCAACCAGGGCCGTTTTTAAATTTTTAATAGTATGTTTAGTGTAATCCTGTGCTGTACTTATTGGTGATAAAATTTAGTGAACATTAGGGTTTTGTTTGCCTCAGTTAAAAATTCATTGTTTTACTTGCAAAAGTTAGTTTATAGACTAGTAGCCTTGGACAGCAGGCAGTGTAGTCGATAGAAATATTCAAAGAAAGGACTAAGTCTCTGATTACTCCCAGCTCATTATGTTATATGTTACTTTTAGTTATACAGGATGGGGCAAAAGTAGGTTCATAGTTGTGAAAACACAGTTTATTCTTATATTATTATTTATTAATTATTGCATTATTTTCCATACAAACAACTGTAAACCTACTTTTGCCCCATTCTGTATATATTCTTAAGTTATAAAGCACATTTTGTCTTTAAACTTATATGCCTTCATAAGTGTAAACTAAAGCATTAGGTGATTCTCTGAGTCCATACTTCGAACAATTTAGGGAAAATCAAGATTGAGGAGCGTCTTGAAAAATATAAGTAGTATCTAAACTCAAAGTCTCAGTCATCTGTGTTACAAGTGATAGATTATACCAGAAGCTTGGTAAAGAAAGCTTCCCGCTATTTTCTCATCTTGCTACAGCTGTCTTTACCTCTGTCAAGGACTCTACTTTGTTAACACCTCTCTCCTTACATGTGCTCAGAAAAAGAGACAAAGCTATTACAATTAACCTGTTGGATATGTTTTTTTCCCTTTAGATTTCAGTAGATCCTGGGCGATCTATTTACTTAATAAGCTTAGAGTGTTACCTTAATACCTTAGAGTGCCCCCACCTTGGATCTTGTGCTTAGAGGACCCATATATCACAAATGTTTTTAAAAAATTGTCATTCGGGATCCAATATTTAGCTCTGAAGACTCCAATTTGTAATCCAAATATTTACTGTGATGGCTAACTCATTCAGGCTCCAGATACACTTCTCTCCATCACTTTTCTTATCCCCTTAAAACAAAACATGATTATGTCTGAATGTCATGAAGGTTATGGATACTGCTTTGACATCTAGGGAGGATTTGAGAAGGGCAGAAGTTCTTAGGTGAGAGAGAAAAAATTAACTTAGCATAAATGCAATGGAGTTTTTCATAACGAATTATCATTTTTCAATACTGCTGTTTATTTTCTTATTTCTCTTTGTATTTCAATTTGTTGTTCTACTCAGAAATTAAGGTGATGTTTGTAGTAATGGTCCACAGCAGCTAAGGAATACTTTACAATATTGAACAATTCATATTTTTTAAAAAGATTTTATTTACTTTTAGAGAGAGGGGAAGAGAGGGAGAAAACGAGGGAGAGAAACACTGATGTGTGAGAGATACACCTGTCAGTTGATTCTTGCACACCTTCAACTGGGGACCTGGCCGGCAACCCAGTGAGCTTTTGGTTTGCAGGCCAGCTCTCAATCCACTGAGCCACACTAGCCAGGGCTGAACAATTCATGTTACTTTTAAATTTTATATATAAAGGTCCAGACAATGTATGTGATGTCGATTGTTGACATAGGCAATGAATGAGCTTTGAAACCTAGAATTGTGCATAGTTCTATTTTTGTAAAAATATACATTAATGTTTAATTGTTGTTTTTTTTTAATTGCATGGCTGGTCAAGATGGGGGCATAGGTAGATACACTTTGCCTCCTCGCACAACCGAAAGAAGTACAACAACAATTTAAAAACAAAAAAAGAAACAGAACTGCCAGAAAATTGAACTGCATGGAAGTCTGACAATCAAGGAGTTAAAGAAGACACACACATTCATACTAGTAGGAGTAGTAGAGATAGGCAGTGGCGCAGAGAGGATGCATAGCAAGGC